TGCTCATAAAATTTCTTTCAAATTACCGGTCAGAATATAATTTACATTGTAAATTCTTATAATTTGGTGGTCATTTTGAATATAAAGCATCATATATTTTGCATTAGACATACAAATTTTAGATAAGAATTTTTTCTCTAGGTATCATATTGTCTTTTGTGCAAAATATATGGCATTTTATGTTAAATATTTACTAATCTTACAAAGGAATCCTTGAATGTCAATTATATTATCTAACTTTAATCTGAGGTATTATTAATACTAAATGTTAAAAACTCTGTTTGGTAGGATTGGTGGGGGTGGGGGAGGTTGGGACTGATTGGGCGGTTGGAAGGGGGAGGGAATTGGTGTACTTTGATTGACAGATAGTGTAAATTTATTTTTTTTTTTAACTGAAGGTATTTGTTTAGCTCATAAAATTCGCCTGAGTACGGTCAGAATATAATTTACATTGCTGAATTCTTATAATTTGGTGATCATTTTGAATATAAACATCATATGTTTTGCATTGTTATACAATTTTAGGTAAGAAATTTTCTGTAGGTAACTATGTTATCTTTTGTGCAAAATATATGGCAACATATTCAAATATTCCCTAATCTTACAAGGAATCCAGCAATGTCAATTGTATTATCTAACTGGTTTGAGGTATTATTTATTAAATTTTATGGTTTTCCCCAAAAATTTCTCTGAGGCGGCAGTGTGGTGTGAGAGTGGGAGGGGTTGGGTCCGTTATTTGATGGACATTAACTTGGCGACTTTTGTTTCTCTATTTCTCTTAAGTATTAATTGTTGCATGTACCATCATAAAATTAAGATGTTATTTTTACTTCTAACATGGTTATGTGTCTTCAAAGTGGGTTTGGGTCGGGCGGTTTCTATTGGAATTAATCCCGTATGTTCTGTTGTTCGCTTAGCGGGTCCTCTGGGTTCTATTGGCTTGGCGTTAAGTAGGTGCAAGTATTACATCTGAATTTGTATTAATGCAAAATAGCAGTATTTATATTCAAAATGATTATCAAATTGTAAGGATTCCAGGAATGTAAATTATATTCTGGGGATAATTTGTATAGATTTTATGAGTTTATACAGATATGTTCAGTTAACAATAAAGAAAAATTATATTCTGAACTATTTGTCAGTTAAAGTACCCTTTCTTCCAGCCGGTCGGTCCCAGCCCTCCCCACCCCCACTTTTAAGAGATGTTGGGTGAAAAATAGATTTTAACATTTTGTATTAAATAATACCTCAGATTAAAGTTAGGATTTATAGTTGACGTTGCTGGATTCTGCCAGGACCAGGAGTAATTTTGAATGTTCATATTTTTTGCTGTATTTACTCAGATTAAGTTATTTATCTAAATTTTTATGTCTAATGAAAATTATGATGTTTATATTCAAATGATCATCAAATTGTTTCAGCAATGTAAATTATTTTCTGTGAGATAATTTAATATGAATTTTATGAGCTAAATTAAAGAGTGCCACTTCACCCGTGTAAAGAATTGCACCCACATGGAATGTAGGCATCCTGGGTTCTGGCGGGCACGTGGCGTGAAGCGCGGAATGTGGGACGCGTAAAGTGAGGTTGACTGTGTATATATGTATATGTACTGTATGTGTATATGTATATATATATATATATATATATATATATATATATATATATATATATATATATATATATATATTATAGTGGATGTCTCTCTACAAACTAACAAGTAGCTGCACACCACCTGCTATCACATTCAATGCCTTCCTAGCAACCAACCCAGGAGTGTTGCGGCTTCTGTATGAGCTAAAGTGCATGCTTCCTTGGGTTTCCAACATGACTCTTAGGGGACTGGCGGCTGCTGCTGGGTGTATATAAGCTCTGTCTCTCCCTTGAGATTCCTTTCTGCCATTCTTCCTGAACAAGCAACATCTCTCCAGCAAGCTCACGCTGTTAACATTTCATTCAACCAGGAGGCCAGCAACAGGCAACACCTTCTCTAACAAGCTCCTGCATCTACCTCCTTCAACACGATACTCCCGAACGTCTTCTACTGAGCTGCTCCCCACCACGCTCTCCAGCACCAGACTGTCTATCATATAACTTATATATATTATATAGAAACCACATAGTTTCCTTCCATCCTGGGTGCTAGACAACTTTAATATCTCGATACTACAATATATATATGTATGTGTATATATGTATATATATATGTATATATATATATATATATATATATATATATATATATATATATATATATATATATATATATATATATATATATATATATATATATATATATATATATATATATATATATATATATATATATATATATATATATATATATATATATATATATATACAGGTGGGTTACTTGAACTCAATCAGTTCCAGAAGGTTGGTTAGATTAACCGAAGTTGTTGAAGCATTGTTTCAATGGGTTTGGAGTAGTGGTTCCAGCTCACGAAATTTCCTAAATTCAACAAAAATGTTGAAAAGTTCACTTACTTTGAGGTGTGTATGTAGAAGGCTCCTGGATGATGATGATGATGATGGGATTTAGAATGGGGGTGGAGAGAAGGAAGAAGAAGGCATTGGGGTGGAAGAAGTCACCCGTAGGCGCCATTTCACCTATAAAATTTTAGCTCTCTTGGTGTAATTCAAGGTTATTTTCTTTAAATCAACACTGCACTGCATTATATATTGTCAATATGTAGAATATATTTCAAAATGACCAATAATTTGCTTGGAAGCATGAAAAAAAAAGCGTTTAGTTGAAGAGTCTCAAGCAAGATGTTACCTCCAGTGAAAACAGAAGACTGATGCCTGTTTGCTGTAAAGAGGCTGGATGCAGCGCATTAAACTAGTCACTTTACCTTCAATTTTGTTCAATAATTGTTAAATGACTAAAAAATTGAATATTAAACTTTTAAAATTGAATAGTATAAACTTCTTGATATTTACAAAAATAGTAAGAATTTAAGCCCTAGAACCGATTAATGTATTGGCGGACTGATACTAAAGCTGGTTGCCCTGTCAGTGCAAGCGAAAACATATGGAGGTCGGATTCGTAAGTTAGATTAGCGATTTTTAGTTAACGAATTGAAGATCCTTATGGAAGGCAGTTCGTTAATCAAAATTTACGTTAACCGAGGTGTTAGATTAAGCGAGGGGTCATGTATATATATATATTATATAATATACTGTATATATATAATATATATATATATATATATATATATATATATATAATATATATATATATATATATATATATATATATATATATATATATATATATATATATATATATATATATATATATATATATATATATATATATATATATATATATATATATATATATATATATATATATATATATATATATATATATGATTAGAAAGTCATAACAGTATATTCTTGGAAGTGGAGAAAAGGGACCTCCAAAGGTTATCGGCAATACAGCTTAACTATTTGCCTGTATACAAATTTAAAATATGGTATATAGGCAACAAGTTGACGAAAATAAACTAATTTGTTTAACAGTTGCCACAGTTGACTGAGTGTCCTAAAAAGTTACCAATGACGATCACCTTTTCAAAGTCGTCATTGCACCTTATCACCATCAACTTAACATCTTTAGTGATAGCTCTGTGGGGTCTCTTATCCCTGCTCTTTCACTTGCTGGTCACTTTCCTGAAATCTATAAATAGGGTAGATCCTTGGAAAATGTCAGAGTTTGGAGCTGGTCTCAAAAGATTCAGTTGGTTTGTAAACCAACATTCATTTCCTTTAGATATATTGGGTAGTTTTATTTAAAAAATAAATACTGTAGCAATAATAAATAAATAAATAATAATAAAAATTGTAAAGTAAAAAATACAAATATATAATAAAAAAGATAATTTTTAAATAGAAATAAACATGTGGAGTACTGTATTTATTATTGTAAAATGGAAAATTTTAGTTATCATAAACAAGGTACCAGCACAGTATACTTCTTACCATAAATACGCTAAAAGAGAACAAAGAAGTACAGTACATTATACTGTTTGATGATGTACAAAAGTATCCTTTATCTCACTTCAGCAATTTCTCATAGGTTTCCCTTGCAGAAGAAAAAACAATGGTGCAGATACCTGCTGCAACTCCTCCTCTCTAAAACTCTTTCAATTATACAAAAAATAAAAAATTTCCATAACTTCTGGTGTTTTGTTCATATAACAAAACACAGGATAAAAAGTACCAACAACAGAAATCACTCGATATGGACCGGTCACTAAGCTGACACCCTGGGTTGTAAAATAATCTGCACAGTGAACCCTACTCGATGGAGTGGTGTAGGTTGTAGCAGAGTGGTGCTGTACAAAGGAGCTCCAGCAAGACCTTTGAAATTTGCATTACAGGAAAAAATACATATGGTATCAGAGAAAAGACAATGCAAATAGTGTTCATGAATTCAAAATTTTGTATACTTTGTGAAATTCTTTATAACAGGAATGTGTACAGTGAGAACTGTGAGTCTTACATTTCCTAATGACCCGGTGTATCGGTAATTTATTATTATTATTATTATTATTATTATTATTTACTTACAAATGATGAGCGAGCTTAGAGATATTCACCAAAATTGCAAAAGCATAATTTTTTTAAATTTCCTACAATTATTTGATAAATAATTGTATACTGTTACTGTAGTAGTTACTGTAACTTTGTCGGTCAAAAAATATAAAATGGAACAGACCATCACACTGGTACTGTAGAATTAAGGTTTTTCTAATTTATTTCCTCAGGTAGATAATGGCACTGTTAAACACCTTCGTATATTTCAATAAACACTTTAATAGAAAAAATATGCTGTGGACTGTTTTGTGAACCCTAAGATTCAATGCCCATGTCTTGTAAAGGGCATTATGGTTACATAAAAACAATGTTGGCTAACACCTTTGTATAATAACACTCTCGAATTACTACAAAGTTCAGTAGTCACTTCTATGCGATAGTACAGCTACACAATGGTAGTTGTTAAAGACTTCTCCTCTGATTTTGGGGTCTCTTTTTGTCTGAATGTTATCCAGGAGTACACTATACTACCACCAACACTGTAAAGAAAATATATTATTCACTCATATATTTACTACTAAATATGGTAATACAATTATTTATAAACTGAAAAATATGTAATACTGTACAAGTTCATGGGATCTGAAAGAATTATACAAGTGTATAATAAATATATATAACAAGATAAAACAATTAATTGGACACAATGAACCAACTTGCAATTGCATTATTTGCTGTCACTATATAGTACATATAATTTCTTAATAATATTAATAGAAAATTTGTGAATACTGTACAGACACAATCACAAAGTCCAAACCCTAACATACCAGACAATTAGTTGGTGGACATGTTACACCAGGTTCTCCAGGCAACACAGTACAGTACAGAACAATACACACAATTAAACTGTTATCACATGACAGTCTAACCTCTCAATGTAGCTGTATTAACAGTGAGGTTAGTGTTTCACTTATGCAAATCGTTATCAAACTGGGACGCATTCTCAACACCTCATCAGTTATGTACAGTAGCAGAATCGGTACCATAACTTACAGACTCCTACAGTCCTTAATTTCTCATTCTCAAAATTTAATTAAGGGTCCATAACCAGTATTAACCTGTAATTATTTTCCCCTGTAAATTCCATTCTCTTGTCTGAAGGTATATGGCAGTGCATCAGTTAGTTGGCCAATTGTATTTCGGTTAACAAAATCATCACCCAATCACAAGAGAATCAGCGGAAATAGGGCATAAATGATAGTTGCTAGACGTGCCAAGCTTTATGTCTATATATATATATATATATATATATATATATATATATATATATATATATATATATATATATATATATATATATATATATATATATATATATATATATATATATATATATATATATATATATATATATATATATATATATATATGTAACGAATCTAATTGGTTCTAGAACCTGGTTCGTTATAGCATTAGATTCGTTAATAGGTTAATCGCTCAGGCCCCCAAATACAACCACTTAGCACTGAAAATTTCTGTGGAATTGTAAAAATACAGTACTTTATCTTGTAGTGTTGTGGCATGCAGGACAGGAGGCAGAGGAGGAGGAGGCATTATAGAGAAGAGGTGGAAGGAGGAGTCATCATCCTGGCCCTCTTTGGTGACTGTCTTAGAGCACTTTTCTGTTTATCTATAATTTCTTTCAAGTTTCAAGGGTTATTAGCTTTCTCATGCTCGATGATTCATTGTTCAATTGTACACTTGTATAACAAAATAGTTAAATGACAGATTTCAACAAGTTCAGTGATGCACTGACTACACAATGAACCAATATAGGCGCAGCGCTCTTGCAGAACCGCAGTACAACAATATATCATCAGACGAAATAGTCCCGTATTCATCCGCGTTAAGTTGTAGGAGTTGCGTTAAGTTATAGTATTCTCAATTTTATAGGTAAAACGTTAGTTATAGGAATATTATAGTAGGATCAGTTAGATTTATAGCATACCCTGTATATATATATATATATATATATATATATATATATATATATATATATATATATATATATATATATATATATATATATATATATATATATATATATATATATATATATATATATATATATATATATATATATATATATATATAACCATTATATCTCAAACATAAGGGTAGATTTGAACATTAAAAAATCTTGCCCAAAGTTAGGGAATTAGTCTTAATCACCAGAGTATAAAATTCTTACCTCTTAAATATTCGTATAAGAGTGGTGATGGAAACATGGTAAACCACTAAAAGAGTCCTCTCAGGGAAAGTGACCCCTTGACTCATGACCGCCTCTTAGCTATTTTAGCCGTCCTTGTGTTGGAGGTGGTCGAAGCAATGCATATCTGTATATTTATGATCACATGCTTATCTCTATAAATAATTAATTTAAAATTAATTTTTACAAAATATTCAGTAAATGACTCGTTAATTCTTGAAACTACCGACAGTGGTAGAATTTAGGATATAAATGATGAACAAGAAGTCACTTCATGGAGTCATGGATTAGGAGTTGGTCATAATGATCACCTACCAGTTATAATGCTAGCCTCCTTTTAAAGCGAAACAAGTATATAAGTGAAAATACTTGCAATTAATGTTTAATGTATTACAGTATAATATAAATAAATAAATAAACAAATAAATCGGCAAATCTATTTTTAAGTAAATGGAAATATTTTACTCACACCAACGTGGTTCAATTAAATAACTGCCGCTTAAGTAGTCACCCTAGTGTACAATGACATAATTTACAGTGCCAATACTTGGAAGTGAATTGGCATTGTACTAGCTCTTGTAATAAATAAATGGAAAAAAAGAATCAAAGGTGAGAAAACATTATATTGTATGTATATTTGTGTTGTGCCAAAGGAAAACAATTGAAACTCTGCAATTGTGTGTAAATGAACAGAAAGATAAATCAGCAACCTAAGACTTGGTCACAATTTTCGTGATGCCATATGGAAATGGGTCTGCATTAAAGACGTACTGTGCATTGTGCTTCAATATCTTCCCGAGCAGTAGAATCTCCCCATTTGGTAGCTGCTAAAACTTTTAGTAATATTACTTTGATACAACATGATAAATTAGACAAACAATGAAAATAAACAAACAAAGTTATTTGCAAGACCTCTCTGAGAACAGAGGGATGTATAGGGAAAGGAGGTTGAGATAAGATGGCTATTTATAAGCCTGTCTTTGCAATAATGAGGAAGTCAACCACACTAGAAATAATTAATTTTAATATATGAGTAGTGTTGTGAGGATGTGTGAGTGGTGTGGGGGGTTTGTGGTAGTGTTGTGAGGATGTGTGTATGTGGTGTGGGGGTTGTGGTACAGTGTTGTGAGGATGCTGTAAGAGTAGTGTGGGGAGCTTTTGTGGGTACAGTTGCCTGAGGATGTGAAAGTGGTGTGGGAGGTTGTGTGGTGTGGATGTGGTGGTTGTGGGGGTTGTGGTGGTGTTATGGGGATGCTGTATGAGTAGTGTGGGGGCTTTGTGGTTCAGTTGTGAGGATGTGTGAGTGGTGTGGGGGGTTGTGGTGGTGTGAGGATTTGTAAGTGGTGTGGGGTTGTGCAGTGGTAGTGTTGGGAGGATGGCGGTATGAGTAGTGTGGGGGGCTTTGTGGTTCAGTTGTGAGGATGTGTGAGTGGTGTGGGGGGGGGTTGTGCAGTGGTAGTGTTAGGAGGATGCAGTATGAGTAGTGTGGGAACTGTGGTTCAGTTGTGGATGTGTGGTGGTGTGGGGATTTGTGCAGTGGTAGTGTTAGGAGGATGCAGTATGGTAGTGTGGGGGCTTTGTGGTTCAGTTGTGAGGTCAGCCTTGGTGGTGGGGTTGTGCAGTGGTAGTGTTAGGAGGATGCTGCAGTATGGAAGTAGTGTGGGGGCTTTGTGGTACAGTTGTGAGATGTGTAGTGGTGTGGGGGGGGTTGTGTGTGTTGTGAGGATGTGTATGAGTGGTGTGGGGGTTGTGGTAGTGTTGTGAGGATGCTGTATAGGTAGTGTGGGGCTTTGTGTTTTAGTTGTGAGGATGTGTGGAGTGTTGTGGGGTTGTGTGTTGTGAGGATCTGTATGGTGGTGTGGGGGCTTTGTGGTACAGTTGTGAGGATGTGAGTGGTGTGGGGGTTGTGGTAGTGTTGTGAGGATGCTGTATGAGTAGTGTGGGGGCTTTGTGGTACAGTTGTGAGGATGTCATGTGAGTGGTGTGGGGGGGGGGGGTTGTGGGGAGTGGAGTCATGACACACACCCATCAACTTACTACCCTCTTTCCTGCATCACCATCAACACTACCAGCGTGCAACACACCTGGTCACCTCTACCATTATTAACACCTATACTGAATTGATTAGGATCATGTACTTGTGTACATCGATGTATTTCTGCCGACACTGAATCGTCATCAACCTCTAGGGTCCAGAGATAATAAGCCCTGGCACGTGACTCCTCTCTTAAAGTGCATTAAGGTGATTGTATTTGGCGTCATCTAATCCTAACTTCGTAATGGGTGTCAAGGCTTCACTATGATTACAATCTCAGTTTTTTAGTTTCGTTTATTCAACTGGTATTATATCTACAAGAGTTATTTAACCAGAGCGTGGACATTTCTTTGTAAGTGTCATATGTAGTATGAAATACAATATTTCAGTATCTGAGTGTCATATTTGAGATGGGGAATTAGGTGACATTAGTGGGGCAATAAAATGCAATTTTTCAAGAGAATCATGAAAATGGTGGGTACAAGCACCAAATTTAGCATGGTAATTCTCTAATGGTTACTAGTCAGTCTGCTGATTGGCCATTTAAAAAATTCAAGATGGCGACCATTTTCAAAAGGTGACCGCCATATTATTTAAGAGTTGATTTTCTTATAGAAATTGATGTAATTTGGGTCAATCTGGGTGATCTTGGTGTCGTATGTATGTTTTCAAGCATGCTTAGATGATTTTTATAGTTTTAAGTCCATTGTAGCTGCATTTTATACACATGAAATAACACTATTAGTAAAAAATCTAACAAAAATGAACTTACTAAAAAAGTCGGTAAACCAGTGGGAACACAGATCACCACGGGGCAGTGGCTTACTCACCACCGATCGTCTCGTGGCCAAACAGAAAGCATATAAATTGAAATACTTGCAATTAGTAATTTTAATATGTTTACAGTATATTATAAATAAACAAATAAATCGATACAAATCCATTTTCAAGTAAATGGAAAAAATTTTACTAAACACCGACATTAGTTCCAGTTACGGTAAATAGCAGGCGCTTCGGTAGCGTCACTAGTGTTTACGCTACACCAGCGGGTAACATTTGATGACATTACTTTGAAGTGAATTGGCCTTATTTTAAAAAACCAAGGATGGTTGGTGAGGACTACTGAGTCAGTGGGTAAGTGTCATTTGGGGTACTGGTCTTATACAATGAATGAGGCTCAAAGCTACTTTAAATGGAGATTTGGTTAAATGGAAATTTGGGGCCGTCTTATG